GTGGTTCAGGTACATGTCCCTTTTTCTATATCAGACCTCTCACAAATAGAAAAACGTCTCGGGTCATACACAACTAACTAACTAAGCTACATTAAACAGCTTCAATACCTCATCCAGTCCTATAGCCTCATTTTTCATGATATCTATCTTACCCTCTCCAACACCCTACTTCCAGAAGAACGTAGAAGGGATTGGGAACAGGCTAGAATATATGCAGATGAAATTCATCAAACCACCCCTGCTCACCCTCTTGGGGCGACGGCAGTCCCAGACCAAGACCCAGGCTGGGATTACAACTCCCCTGCTGGCATTGAAGCTAGGGACTGTTTTTCTACTTGCCTCCATTCCGGGTTGTGCAGGGCTGCACAAAAGACAGTTAACTTTGAAAAACTCCAGGAAGTCAATCAGGAAGAAGAGGAAAAACCCCACCAACTTCCTCAGCTGACTCACCAGAGCGCTCCAACAATTTACTAACATAGACCCCGAAACCCCTGAAGGCCGACAACTCCTAATGACATATTTTTTCTCCCAAAGCTATCCAGATATTTGGTCAAAACTAAAAAAACTCGACCGAGGCCCCCTCACTCCCCAACATGACGTTCTCACAGCAGCCTTTAAAGTGTTCCATAACCGGGCCAAGAAGGCAAAAAACACAAATATCAAATGCTGGCCCAGGCCCTCCATGGCAACAGGGTCACCTCTGGTATCACCCAGGGTGGTGGCAACGCCTGAAACCAATGACAACCACCAGGACCCTGCTTCAAGTGCGTGCAGCCAGGGCATTGGGCATGAGGGTGCCCCAACCCCGGAGTACCCCAAAAACCATGTCCTAGATGTGAACAGGCGGGACACTGGTCAGTGGACTGCCCCAGTCCCCAAGGAGGGACCGGGTCAACCCCCCATCCCGCTCTGGACCTGTTGGGCATGGCAGCAACTTTAGACTGACGGGACCCAGGGTCTCCCTGCCCGACACTAACCTCAAATCGTCAGGAACCCAGGGTCACTATAACCGTTGACGGGCGCCCCATCCACTTTCTCCTGGATACCGGAGCCACCCTTTCTGTCATACGAGAGTTTTGGGGCCCGACTTCCCTTCTAAGTCCCCTATAGTCGGGGTAGGGGGCCAGTCCATCCTTCCATGCATAACTCCTACAGTTACATGCATCTTTGTAAACGTCCCCTTCACTCATTTCTTTTTGGTAATGCCTCAATGTCCTGTGCCTCTTATGGGCAGAGACATTTTAGCCAAGTTTCAGGCATCCATCACCTTCAACCCAAGTGTGGCCCTCAGCAACCCTTCCCCTACAACCCCGTTCTTGGCCCTTCTAACCACTGATAATTCTGACTCACTTCCTCCTTTGCCCTCCTCAATAGTGAATCCTCAAGTATGGGACATAGACTCCCCGTCCCTAGCACACCGCCCCCCAGTCCACATTCAACTTACAAATCATTCTGCATATCCGAATCAGCCACAATACTCTCTTCCTACCTCCAGTCTTCTAGAACTCCAACCTGTCATTAACTCTTTGCTATAAAAGGGATATCTGCGCCCCACTAACTCCCCATTCAACACCCCCATTTTAGCAGTACAAAAACCAAACAGCACTTACCGCTTAGTGCAGGATAAGGCTCATTAATGCAGCTGTCATCCCCATCCACCCGCTAGTTCCTAATCCCTATACCTTCTTATCTTCAATTCCTCCAACCCCTACTCACTTCTCGGTTCTTGACCTTAAAGATGCATTCTTTACCATCCCCCTGGCAGCAGACTCACAAAACATCTTCGCGTTCACGTGGACTGATCCAATATCTCACCACTCACAACAACTCACTTGGGACAGTCCTACAACAAGGCTTTCGAGATGGCCCCCACCTGTTCAGTCAAACCTTAGCAGCAGATCTTAAGTCTCTCTCACTTACCAAATCCACCCTTATTCAATACATAGACGACCTCCTCCTGTGTAGCCCTTCCTTAGCTGATTCTCGAACAGACACTGCACTCATGCTTAACTTTCTAGTGGAAAAAGGATATTGGGTATCCCCTCAAAAGGTCAACTGTCTGTCACACAAGTCACATATCTAGGGGTAGCCGTCTCACTCCAACAGATGGCTATAACAACAGATTGGAAGGCCCTAATTAAATCCCTAGATATACCTAAAACTAAGCAGGAAATTCAATCATTTTGGGGACTAGCGGGATACTTTTGGGTGTGGATTCCCAACTTTGCCTTACTCGCGAAGCCACTCTATGCTCTCACAAAGGGAGATCCCAATGAGCCACTAACACCCTCCTCCATTAAACAACCCTTTGTTGCCCTCCAGCAGGCCCCCGCTCTTCATCTGCCAGACGTACACCGACCTTTCATCCTATATGTCCACGAAAACAAGGGGGTGGCCTTGGGAGTCCTGGGACAACTTTGTGGACAAACATTTGCCCCAGTGGCCTATCTCTCAAAACAGTTAGACCACACTGTCCAGGGCTGGGCCCCACATCTGTGAGCATTGTCTGCCGCCCACATGTTGATGTGCGAATCCAAAAAACTCACCTTCAGGGCCCCTATTACCGTAACCTCCCCCCACCATCTATAGCACCTCCTAAGCTACAAAGGCCTTCAAACGCTGCCTCCCGGTCGAGTCCTATCGCTCCTTGTCTTCTTTTTACAGGATCCCTCCATATCCTCTCAAACTTGTACACCCCTAAACCCAGCCATGTTGCTCCCTTCTTCCACAGCCCCACTAACCCACGACTGCATAGAGACTGTTAAGTCTCTCCTCCCTTGCCTGGTTCACATCCAGGAAGGCCCTTTGCCCTCCCCCTCCTATACCCGGTTCACTGATAGCAGCTCCTTCCTACACAATGGGTCCCAGGGTTGCGGGATACGCCATCACCTCTGTTACACACGTCATTGAAGCAAAGCCTCTCCCGCCAGGCACCACTAACCAACAGGCAGAACTTACAGCTGCCACTTGGGCATTTCAGCTAGCGGCTGGACACTCTCTTTCTCTTTATACTGATTC